AACAGCATTTGAAACAGAAAAACGGTCATGCCCACGCACATTTTTGCTGTTAGATGCAGGGAACAAATTTTATTTTAAACAAAATGATTCTATTGAAACAATTTTCAAAAGCTAGACAGTCATATCAGATGGTCGAACCTGCTTGAAAACATGCAACATGTGACTCTTGATAATTTCTACTTGCTAAATCATTTACCTGCGTTAGTTAAAGAGTTTGGTTGCCTGAGTAAATTTAAACTGCAGTATTGGAAGAAAGCAATACGAAAATTATCTAGTATAGCTTTTTCTCTTTAGTCTTACTCAAATATTCAGATAGCATTATCTTGACAAAATACCGCCAACTGGTCTAGATGGCTGTGTGAATTCATAAAAGGCTGTTTTTGCTGTTTTTTTCCTCTAAAAGAAGATGAAGATGGAACCTTCCGCCTTCACACACTTTCAATAACCAGCAAATGTTTCTCATCGAATAATCAACATACCATCTGAAAGACTGAATTCATAAAACCGACCGGCGTGAGAGCAACAACCATGACGTTTTCTGACAATTGCATCTTTACTGCTTTTAAATAAATTTATATCAACATTTCCAATTCTATACAAGTATTTAAGCATGATTATGCTCTTCCTTTTGCTAACCAAAAAGGTCGTATAACAACTTATCAGAATAACAATAATTACAGCCTATAACGATCAAGGGTATCATAAGAAATAACTCTAGAACTGCAAAAAAACACATGCGTTGATAGTCAGGAGAGTTTTTTAAAGGTCTTCTGAAATTTTTTTAGAGAAAGAACAAAAAAACATGCATGAAAATAACGGAAATCTCACGAAAGAAGGGATAAATAAATCTTGCAATTAAACCAACATTAACTGAATTGACATGAAGCTCTGAGTTTGTCAAGATCCATAATAAAAAATAAACAAAATTTGTCGAAATAAACGTTTTTGATAATCGAATAATTGTTTTATTATAATGTTGTATGACTTCGCAATTGTGATACGTTGTGATATGATCTGCGATGTTACCCAAAAGTCTACCTACTAGAACTAATTCAATCACAATCGTTCGGCTCTTTCTGCGTAAGTTATTCTGATTTTAAAGAAGCATTACTAAAGAAAGCTAAGCTGAAAGTTTATGAATCGTCTGGAGAGAATAGTCAGTTTACGTAACGAAAAAAGGTTAGGTACTAAAAGCAATCCCTTTTTCTAATTGGAAAACATGTTTTGTGAATCCATTTACAGTCGCTCTGTGACAACCCAATTATACAAGTTACATACTATAGAAGTACAAAAGGATCATTAAACAAGGTCGCTAATGCGGAATGCGTATGCCTAGAAATTCAATGTTAAACAGAAAATCTGGGAGAAATTGACTTTTGGAGTGAATGGCAATTTCAGTCTACTAAAACGGTTGCCATTTTTTCTGGACGCATTTAATGATCTTAGCATCAAGTAGCGCTTCAAGCTAAAATTGAAATTTGCAGAAAAATTAAATGCTAATTCAGGTGTATGAAAAATTGTAATATATCACGAGGTTATCTATAAAAAAGAGCTTAATAGTGTGCATAAGTCAAAAGCATAAGGAACTCCTTATTCAGGATAACATACTGCTAAAAATGGGAAAATATGAAATCTGACTTGTTTTTTCTCTATCAATATTTCATTTGAAAAGGCAAAGCTCGTTAAGTTGATATTTAGAACTTATCACCAATTCTTTTTTATTAATTCACGTTTTAAATGTAGTTTGAAATTTTTATAACTCCCCATTTACTTGCTCTTAGATTCATTTAGAAGAAAAACGAAGAAAAAAATAAAATAATTGCTAAGAAGTAAGGAGCACTCAATTTAGAAATTGCATTACTGAACCAAAATTTTTGATAGAAGTATTCAATTGAAGTATGCATTGCACTATGAATTGGGTTTTACTTGTCTAGGTACCTCGATAATACTCTCCTCTATTCAAGACTATTGCAAAAGGAACAAGAATTATTCGGAGATTTGCGTCTGATGTCAGCTAATAGCCATGTCTTTCATTCAGGCCATTAGGCAGTGGCGAAAGGTCATTTGTCCTAAGAGATAGTTGACCGAGAGACATTGATACTAAATTTACGAGTAAGTAATTTGCCATAGGAATCATAGGGATCTTTGATTGCAAGTTCATGCGCATGGAGATGTGAGTGGGATTTAATACCTGTAATTAGAAAGTTATGAAAGCTGTGTATACTGGGTATGAAAATTGCCCGATTATTTTCGGATGTCTAAGTAGATTATATTTGGTGGGCAAAGTTCTCTCAAGAAGATACCAAAGCTCTTTTGATTTGCCGCCCCTGAACATACTTCGCGCTTCTGACAAACAGATTAACTCCAAAGTAGGCTGTTATGAGCTGTTAATGATATTTCGTACTGTTATTGTTTTCCGAACAAATGTTTGTTCAAACCAAAGTTAAAGAACCTTGCACCATAAATGTTTCATTCTCCAGAAAAGCATGATCGCTTTTAGTAATGTTGAGGCGGGTTTTCGGTAAAGGCTAATTTTTCAGTCAGTATGGAAAAGTTTTCTTGCAACTCAAGTCTAAATTTCCCGCAAAACCTGGTCAAATTATTTACCAATTGTATTTGTAGAGAATACGCGGCGTTTAAATCCGCAAAGAGAATCTCCTGCAGCGTACGGTTTTGAGTGTAGGTCGTGCATTTCTATCTGAAGTAATTCCATTGTCTGTTACCCTGAAAGTCCTTCTGGTCAGAGCCAGACTCGGAATCGTACATTTTCCCAGCACATTTAATTGTACGGCTGCATGGAGCAGCGTCACTAGCGACATCACTTAATTTCTCTGACTGTTAAAACAACGACGGCACATCAATATCATTAACGCGTGCTTTAAGCCAGATTGTATGAGCACTGGCTGGTATGAACCAGTGTAATTCCTATTATTTAGGTTTGGTGAATATATTATGCAGAGGTTTTCCCTTTATTTAGACGTTGATAAATAAATACAGTGGGATATGCACAATAACCTGCTGAGTGATATGTATTCTTTGGATGAGAATGCCTTCACTGAAAATCTCCTTCACAAATCTTTTACTTTCATTACTAACTTTGAGTGTCGCCTCTAACAACTTGCAGGTTGTGAACGTTCTTTTCAAATTAAACCATAAAGAAAGTACGTGTAATTTGCAAATGACAATGAATCTTCTTATACCAGCATTTAAAAAGGCACCAGTTTGCGATTGAGAGTTCAAATGTTTCTCTCAAATTCATTAGCAACTGTAGCAGTTTGTAATGAAGAATTCAAAAATTTCCACCTTAACATCGCTCATACTTTAAAGCCGTTTTAAGCCTTTTTAAAATGATCACCAATCATGTCAACGAAATTCAATTTCTACAAGGTAAACAAGAAATTTACTTAGCTTTAATATATTCGGCATCAGAAATCATATGGGCATAAGTTAAATTGAATCCCATACTTTCTTTATGATTGCTGTGCAAGTCAAGCCCTAAAAGAAATACAATACAGACATGTATATCTAATGCTTGAACCATTGATGCGATCTTGATCAAAAACGCTTTCGACAGGCCCTACGTCTTCGTCCAAAATAGCTGCAGAAAATTGCTATTTATTATCAAAAATTTCGAGATAGTCAAGCCAGGAGCCTTTAGATATCCCGAACCAGGCAAAAATCATCACTTGGTAAATCATGATTTTACTTTAGATACCAATGGCGACATTTTCTCACAGCAAGCGTCGCCTTTAGACGAAGATGTCTCCCTCTTTTTAAAACTCCCTCTCTTTGAAACTGTTCAAATGAATAAATTTGTTTCTAACGCAACTTAAAATAAATAAAAGCAGGAGATGAAATGCTATTGTCGGCGCTTATGTTATAACACCGAAGGGAGTGCTAAGTTTGGTAAAAGAGATGGGCATATGAATGCATAGTCCCACAGAAGAGTAACTCCGCGATGCGTAATTTTCTAAAACTATTCTCTGTGCATGGCAGTAAATACTGCAGCTCCCAAATTCATGCGTTAACATTAAAATTTTGAAGCATTTTGTGCAAGCTGAAGTAAACTTGCTTTATCGATTTACAATATACAAATTCACTTAGAAGAATGAAGAATTTCATTGATTTCAAAACTTTAAACTAACAGTAAATATCAAATTAAGAGATCCTTTTTTTCAGAAAAGTAACAGAAGGTTACTAGTAAAATCAATTTTCATTTCAGCATCAAGCTTTGTTTGCAAGCCAGGTATCTAATTTATTACGATGAGTTTAAAATCCTAAATTATGTGTCAAGACAAACACTTCCTAGTGTTTCACTTTTTGCAACTAAACATTTTCTGTAAAGAAGGCAGTGCCAAAAAGATCTTGCACAAGAGTTATTTCGAGCAGATCGAGTAAATATAAGAACTAGCTAAGAAGAATCAGTATCGACTACGTTTATGAAACGTTAAAGTTAACCATTATCGGCAGATGCATTTTCATGCGAATTAAATCGTACGGCGTCCATTGATAGAATGCACCAGCATTTTCAGACAAAACACAAATTATGTTGAAAAAACAAAAATACATTTCTTTCACTTACTCAGTTCTTTGACCAAAAGCTTTCTCTCTTTGTAGCCATTTCTACAAGAAATATAAAAAGAACAGTATATGGCTTATAAACATTTATAGAGAATGACCTGAAATGAAGTAGCAAATTTAACTAAGCCAAGAAAAACATGGCTCAAAAACATTTGCTGCAACTAGCGTGAAGTTTGTTGAGATGTAGAGAAATTTTAAACATAACTGCGTCATATGTTGTAGCAAATAATCTTGCTACACCTTACTTGTTAAAGACAGGCAATTGCACGCATTGATGTAAAAGGTAGAAAATGCGAGAAACCAGTCAGTCATTGTCTGCAACATCGTCAAATCAATTCCTGTTCATCTTAGTTTTAGACCATTTCACAATTTAGGAGCCTTGTAGTTTAAGACAGTTTGACATAAAAAAATAAACATGATTCTGAGAGTCAACTTCATCTGAAGATGATGAATTTAGCAAGCAACAGTAGATGTAAACATTTAATGCTTGTACTTTCTTATTTACATACATATCATGTTTGATATCACACCTAAACTCTAAGTAACTTTATGAAGATATATATCACCTCGGGGACAGTGTTTCAGGACTAGAAAATGTCACTAGACATTCACTTTCGAACTATAAACCAGTTTAACGACAACTTTGTCGATAATCATCAAAAAGAGCTTAATGAACCAACAACATAGCAATTACCAAGCAAGTCTCTCAACTTAAAAACTTACAACCTAAGGGAAAGGAGCACATATTGAGCAAACATCAAAGGTAGCTGAGGAATATACACTGTCCTATTTAACGACATCTTAATGTCTTAATTATATACATCTAGAAGAGTCTATTAACGTTTACAATCGGTCTAAGTGACAGTCACAAATTGTATGTGAATGGTTCGCTTGTAAAACAGGATTTGTATTTGAACATGAGTTCCTTTGACTAAAGAGTCTTATGTCCCGTGTTTGTGAGTGTTGGGGCAATACATGAGGAAATACATGGTGGCGATGGCAATCACAATAACTGTCTGAGTGAGAAGGCAGCGAATGAGGCAGCGTCGTCGCAGTGCAATGCTGGTTCATTGGCAATGAAAGATGCCTTTGCTGCGTGCAGCTAACGTGGCATATCTGCGAGTCGTGCACATTACGCGATACCTCGATACTGCTAGCCTTCTTACTACTTTTGTCGTTGCCAATGATTCGATCAATGGAGAAGTCAGTAGATTTTTTGGACATTTGGCGTGGCTCCTGGTGAGCTACATTGGTTTCTGAATGAACGCTATGATGGTGATACCCTGGATCAGGCATGTAATACGGAGGCCAGGAGTGGGAGACTTGGTAATGCGAATCGTACCCTAATGGTAGATCTGTACGTAGGATCGGGGTACGACTCGATTCACACGGGGCTCTCGAGTGATACCCATAGCAATGCATCATGCTTGAAATTCCTGGAGAACGAGGCCTTTTAAAACGTTTTCTTCTCCTTAAAAAACTTCCGTGGTCGAACATATCTTGACTGGCTGGATCCAGGGTCCAGTAATGCCCTTTTCCCGGATTTCCTGGTTCTCGGGGGATTTTTACAAAACAATCATTTAGCGATAAGTTATGCCTTATCGAATTTTGCCAAGCTGGGAACCTTTCACGGTAATACGGAAACCTTTGCATAATGAATTCGCATATCCCACTCAATGTCAGCTTTTTCTGAGGCGAATGTAATATTGACATAGTAATGAGTGCTATATAGGAGTATGGTGGCTTAACAAGTTTGTTCTGTTTGACATTGTTAGTAGAGCTTGATTCAGTATTCGCGTTCCCTTCTTCATCAAATTCGACCTCCTCATCACTGCGACTTGCTGTCGAGCATTCACTTGCCTGGCTGTTCCTTCGCGAGTTTTTCTCGATCATCTCAACGCAATAGTACGAGTCTCTGCCTTCTGAACGGGATCCAAAAGATTCTACTCTTTCAATTTCTCTCTCTTCGTTTTTGTCGTAAGCACTCTCAGTCACCGAGCAATGACTAACCATTATCAACAACTAATATTCTTGTATGGTAATAGATTCCAAATGTAAATATTGGCCTTCAAAGTTTATTCAAAGGTGCTTTAGTCTCTCACTTGTGATACTGTGCCCGATTGTCTTGAACACTCTTTCCTAAAGACTGGCGCGAATTGTTATAGCTTAGAACAAAGTTGACCCATGTTGTTTGTTGACCGTTTCGCCGACCACCTGCCTCAAAAGCAAGACCGCAAGGCCCTGTGATATGCCGCCCGTCTTTTCATAACACTTTGGTCTTGTGCAGGCAAGATGAACGCCTTGGCCACTTCTATAGTTCCAATTTCCAAAGTAATACCAAGATAAAGCCGTTCACTCTGCTTCCGGATCGTAGAGCCCTGTTTATTTATGCATAGCTTCGAGCTATTGAGCAAAGAACGCTTTACAAAGGCACAAAGGGCAGACTATAGACAAATCTATTCTTACACCCCCTGCGGAATACGGAATAGTTGAACCTCGGACGGTCGCTAAGTCTTTACCACCGACCAGGCAATACGGCTCTCAGTCAAACGCTATTTCAGTGAGTGGAGTTCCTTTCTTATTGCAGTTTGCATTGCGGTATTTCACATGAAATACTTCGTTTTATCACACTGGTGTCATGATCACGTTTTTTCTTCGTAATTATCGACCTTAGAGTATTATCTACAAGATGCGTTTTAGAGTGTGCAAATACCCTAGCAATTCATATAATGGTGTGAGTACTTATTCGCTTATAACAGAAAATCAAGTTTACATAGAGCATGTACATAACACCATGTCTAATAAAAACCACGTCACTGATCAAAAAGTCATGTGGTAATTGAGCATTCATAAACGGTTTTACTTTATATTTGCTAAGGGTAATGAACCAGTCAAAGGATTCAATTTATTTAAAAGACTTTCAATCCGCCCCGACACCTGTTCTTATATGACCGTGAAAGACTTTGAACTCACAATTTCAGAAGTTTTCCAACCCTAGATGTGAATAATCTCGAAACTGCTAAAAAATATCCTGAATTTAATTTAGGCAAAAATGCTTACGAATTTGACCTATTTTGTTTCTAACCCAGTGCTTTTCAAAAAAGATATTAAAAACCTATGTACCAGCTTGCCAAATTTCCCACCCGTGTTTCTGTTCTGGAAAACGTCTGATATAGCAGTTCTTTACTGAAAAATAACCAAATGTAACCTAATAAATCAGTTTTGGTATTACTAGAGCTTTGGATTAATCAATTTACACTGGTTAATTCTTAATTCATGCAACCAATCGTTGCAAGATCCTGATATTGCAAAAACATTGGGTTGCTGTTTTATGAATGGCTGTGTAGTGCATGCTTCTTACGTTTTCTATACTTCTAATTGGATGCATGATTACATATACATATTATACTTATACTACACACACATTCCTATATGTTTATGAATATGATTACCCGAAAGAGAAGTTTCTGCAAATTTTTTGCTTTCACTCTTTAAGTTTCACTTGATAATATTACATTATACAATACTAAAGACCAGTATGAAGATTTTAGCCATCTCTTGATGTTTTCTCACTAGCCAAGGCATCCGCTTCTTCTGTTTTAGCTAAAAGGATTCGTCAGAGCAATGTAACAATTCATATGCAATCATTATCTGGTAGAAGGATTTTTATTTTCCGCTTGTTTTTTTACTTATTTTACTTATCAAGCCAACTATAACAGGCAAGTTCTACTCTTTTTCGTTTTCTTCCTTTGGTTTTATATGATAATTTTTGCATTTTAAATTCTTAATCAACCTTTGGAAAATTCAAAAGTTTAAACAGAGCTTTGGGTATTTAAGTTGGCTCATCAGACCCATTCAATTCTCAAAACCAGAATTGACAGTGTTTCTATGAGCCAGTTAAAAATCTGTACAGGATTTCAAGGCCGTCACCTCGTCGACTTTGCAGCAGTGGCCTTTTGATTAACAAGCCCAAAGCAATATCTTATCCGAAGCTGAAGGCAAATCAACATCCCAGGTGCCTCGGGCTTGCGCTATTTCAAGTCTCAGAGGCGACCCTTTATCTGGTTTCACTGCCAATGACGTTTCAATGAGAACCACTGCTTTCAGGAAAATATTTACCTTTATGGTACTCAAAAGACACGTCAGTAAATGCTGAATTAGATATAAATAGTTTATGAATTATGACTAAAGAACGCAAGTACCGGCGTTTAAATGAAGACTTTGCATGCTTTTTTAACTGCACTTGGAATTTGCAAAGCAAGTAACAATGAACAGAAATGATTTGAACAACTAAATGTAACAGTAAAATTGGTCTGTTTCTTATGAATGCCAATTGATTTCATTTGCTTGAGACTTTCAACTGGAGGCTTTATTAAGCTATAATCATTACAGTATAGATGTTTTCATAAGGAATATATTGAATTCCATGGTCCTCCTCAGACAGAAAATGTTAATAGTTTGGTGTCAATCACAGGGGATGAAATGAGATTATAGTTAGTTAGTGTATTGTCAGCCTACTGTGATCACTCCAATCAAAGTATTTCGAAACTTTTCTATTCATTAGAGCTGTAAAGACGACATGTATTTGAAGGACAGCTATGTTTTGATTAACATTTAAAATAAGTAACTAACCACGTGACAAATTCATGGTTTTTCGTTCGAGTGCTGTGAAGTGTTACTTAGTAGAACACAATGTTTCTTTTGAATTACAAGTGATGGGAGGGCAGGTAAACAAATACTGGACCAGTTTGACTAGCTCAATTCTTTAATAGGCTACACAGATTGTTTCGAGCAATCATGCTAGCAAATCACCCGTTGAACAAACAATAACAGACAAGCACATTGCAATGCTTCTCGTATCTGCAGGTCTCCGCGACGCACGGGAACTTGCGAGTGATAATTTTCAACTCGTGATTAAGGCATTAAAAGTGAAAATATCTTCATTGTTCATCACCTTAAATCCTACCAACAATTAAACTGATTAAGAAAGAACATTTTCTTTCAACACGTGATCTTTGCCATAACCACAAGCCTCTTTCATAGTTTTTTCAACCGGTGGATCTACATGAATGACGGTGCAAGAAGCTGTCTTTTTACTTTCTGAATTCAAAAATCATCCTTCATTTCCTGGTTTATTGGGCGATGTTCTTCAAAAGTTTTTTCAAAGAGCAAAGATGACATGGCATAAATTTTTGGGTATGGTTGTTAAGTTAAAATTAACAGCCCGTCACGCGATTCTTCAAAGATTTTCATCAATTTAGTTTGCATTTCTTGGATTTGCCAGCGATAAAAATTTCATGCTCCTAAAACATTTTGCAAAGAAAGCAAGGGTAAGAAAAGTCACAATTATTTACTAGAAATAAGTATTTAATTGCCAGCTTTCCAAGTTTTCGAAACACGTTATGCCAAAAGAAGTACAATCTCACCAAAGTATGCCTTGCGTAGAATCTAAAAAAACAAGTTAAACATCATCTCAGTGGTTATTTTTAGTAGCTGTACCATGAGCATAGTGTTCTTTTGCAAGTAAAGAGAAACTAAAGCAAGGAAACTTCGTAAAAAAGGTTCATCAAAAAGGCGCATGTCCAAAAATGGGTGTTTCGTGGAAGAAGGAAAACAACCAGGGTGGGTTTTCAAGAGAAGCTCTTTCCAAGAGGAGGCTTCTTCAAGAGGAGACATCCCTGTTTATTATCTAGTATGGTTGAGTTCTATTCAAAAGTTCCGGATTTACAATAACATGTAGATTGTTATATGCAGATTCTAAATGATTTAACCTGTTACCACTGCCCTTTATAATGATTTATCCTGTCGAAGAACTTTGTCCTTAAGCAACTAGCAGTTCACGAGCATTCTGCGGAAAAGTAAGAAATATGTTTAAGAGCATTGAGGGGTATTCGCCTACAGCATGTTTAGAGAGGAAATGAAAAAGCTTTTGAGGCAAGAAAAGAAAATGAATATTGAAGATTTCTATTATTCCCATGTCTAAGGCATTTTCCGGTAATATGTTGTTACACTTTGATTTGTTTTTGCAATTTCAATTTTCTTTTCCAGCCAGACACTAGCAGCTAAAAAGTAATATTGACTATAAGACGATATTATGAGCTACCCAAAGAGATAAGATGACAAAGTAACTGGCTGATAGCGAATGTAGTTGTATATCTGTTTTAGTCTCATTACGCAATCAATTTTCTTTGGCACTGGCAAACTTTAATGCCAAAAAACGACAAATTTAATCGTGGTTATCTGTGACGATCAAATGTTGAGGCCTATTCCAAGGCTCCTCCAAAGTTTTGCAGTATCTTTCAAAGAACTCTGCCAAGGTTTGATTGAAATTATGATATATTTTCTAAAATCAATTTGCAAAGAAATTTAAGGTAACAGGGTACCCTATCTTTTCTATTTTAATAAATTCACAAATTTTCCTCGTTTATCACATTAGCCTAAAAATGAAGTAAGCCTTGATGTTAATGAGCAAATCATAGCTTCAATGGCTTCAGGCTTTTTCATAGGGATGCAAATAACCCCGTTTAGATGGAGTCTCCGTTATTTTGTTAGGATTTGCCAGTGGTTTCAAGGTGAAAGCGATACGATATCGGTTACTGTTATTCCAAGGATATGGAGAAACAAAACCAGGATTTTGATTGTTTCCTTAATCCGTTCTTTTCTATTAGCAATACACTCGACTCGTGTTGGTTTAAATGGAAATTAAATGTCTATCCGAAACCATTCTATCGACAGCAACGAGCTCTATTCTTGGGCAACGCCACATTAAATATTTAGCTTAAGATGTGAAACCTTAATATCGAATATTCTTGAACATACAGCCCAGGAATCTCAACAGATATAATTAAGAGACAAAATTTCAACCTATAATAGATGCAAAACGTCAAACATTCGACCTTTGGAAACCTTCAAATCCAGCAGTCAACTTCTACAGTATCAAGTTTGTAAATCGTTTTCTATTCGTAGTTATGCACACAGGGTCACAACTGGTGATGATAAAAACATGATGTTAAGCTACGTCTTCTTAAAACCAAGCATAGCAACAACATCGATGAACATACAGAAACTCAAGTCTGGAAAGATGTGATGCATGTTTACAACTGTCACTTAACCTTTTGAAAGCCTAATAAAGGTTTTTCATCAATGCCACATGCAATGAGGTAAATAATTGCTGTCTTCTTCTACTTGACTCCTATCATGAGAAGTAGCGTAGGAAACGTTGAAACGCCATTAAGCAAGGTCATCAATAATCTTTTAGCAAGCATGTTTTATGAAACATATTCTTTTGAAGACAAGCTTTTATTCTCATTATATCAAGCGACCTTCATATCGAATTGGCCAAGAGGATAAAACATTCTATAGTTTGTGTACATAGAAAAGTTCAGCTGTCGTCATGCTAATCTTCTTGTTAGACTTTTGACTGGCACATCTAACCAATGAAATTTGATACAGCCAACATTTCATCAAGGGCGACATATGTCGTTTCTTGGGTACACTAGGCTACCTGTTGCAAAACCAATTACTTTCAGAGGACAAGCTACGGTTTGGAAAATGTTCCATTTACTTTTGGTCTCCGAGAAATCTTAACTTCAATGTATCAATAATTCGAAAGTGATTTAGTTAAAGGAATTCGTTAGAGGAGAAAGAGAATTTTTGCTTATCAAGTGAAATCTTTGAATTAATTGAGCTAATCTATTCTCATAGATCTGTAAAGCAACCTTTTTGCATTGCCAGATTGCTATTGGCTTTTAGTACCATAAGGGGGTGGGGTTTCCCAACTACATGTCTCCTTCTCTCATTTCAGCCTTTCAACTAATTTTGTGGTTTAAATCACTTTTCATTTAAGCTTCCTTTACAGTTTTAGCTTTAACTTTAGTAAAATTTCCACCTCATCCCCCTTCCCTCCAACGTCCTTCTTCACGTTACAGCGGAGAGGAAAGGAAACTAAATGTTACAGTTAGCAGAAGATGGCAGAGTCACCACAACACTCTTTGAGAAAAAATCTTACACTTTAACAGTCACAACGCCTTACTGATTGTAAGATACCTGGAAACTGACCCGACCCTGAAACTATATCTAAGCTGTGGCATCGTTGGCTACTCTTTATCAAATATTTGTCAATTCACTTTCCAGCAAGAAAGATTCAATTAACCATTTAGAATTTTTTCTTCACCAGTAACACTTCTACACTTCATTAATAGAGATATCATATACTTAGTTCTTTCAAACCAAGTCATTAGCTAAGAAAATTTGAATTTTCAAAGCTTTAATTTTTGTCAGCAGAAGATGGTCATTTGTTTGTTGAATCGTATTTCAAAGATTTATTGCTTCACAGTTTTTTCTGATTTTATGCGTAATTATAATATTGGCAGACGCCTCGGCAACGTATCTCAAACTCAATGGATATAAAGCTATAGAGATGGGTTTTCTCGAAACATTCCAAGTGTATTTTCTCGT